GTAGGGATTTCTCACATTATACAAAGGTTTGGCGATTACCCTGGACAATAATCGAATAATCCTGCTGTAATTACCCTCCTCCAAGCAAATAAACAAAAGTAGGCCTGCATCAATGAGAAGCAAAACTATCACCGCCATCTCAAACTCTGAGGCCTCTTATGGGTGGGCACTGTTGGACCATGATGGCCACAATTACCATTTGTAAGCAATTTATAAAAAAAAAAATCCAGACTCCTGCTTTTGTCCGTGCCCCAGAGAACTGCCCATTTGACTCAACCATGAAAAAGATATATTTATCAAATGTAAAAAAAAACTCCTGCGTTGCACGACAATCCAGCGGGGCACGAATCTTAACCAAACCCGCAAAGGGCTTCTGATTAAAGCAGTGCCATCACCACTCTGGCTGGGAACCTTGAGCTATCGCTGGCCCCATCACGCAACCAAAACGAGGAGCCGGGAGACTGCGGTGAAATTTTACAAAGTTAAAATTTCTGCCAGCATTTTGGTGAAAAACCTCAAAGGGATTTTAAATCACAGCTGTGTTTAAGATTCTGCTCAATTATAACCATTTACACATACGTGAATATTATAGTTCAACAGAACCTATTTTAATAGGTCCACACCTCCGATTAGCACGGTTGACTACGTACGGTGCGAAAGAAGTTCGACACACATATTTACATATATAAATTGTGCCTATGATCTTTTGTTTACAGAAGTGTCACGATTCTACCTCCCCTCCCAGTCCCCCCAAACCGTGATTCAATTAAACGTCACAATGTAGCACAGCGAATCCATTTTGGAATCGATCCTTTTTTTTAAACACCGCGGTGAATGTAGCAGTCACTCGTCGCTGCAGAGTTCACGTGAACACATTACAACATAAATAATCGACGAACATCCAGTTTGACGTGCAATTCAATGTGTGCGTCACGAGCTTAAGAAATCGATAAGAAAATGATTGAACCGATGCATCGTTACGACTCTAATGAACACTTTTAAACGAGCAAAGCGGTATCAAAGCCATGAACAGTAACTTCTCAGTATCGGCATATCCTGAGCAAAATCTAGGGTTACCGCCCGTACATATTTACAATGAGCGGTACCTGCAGCAGATATCTTATCAGTATTATTTTGACTCTCTTTTAACTTCTTTAAATAGCTTGGTGAATGTGACACTGCCGCTGTTGTTCCAACCAACCTAATTGCCAGGATATATGATTTTTTTCGGTCTTGTTTCTATGTTTTGGTATCTCGGGGGAAGAGCAATTGAAGCTAGCAAGCTCTCTTTTTCAACACTAATCTTTTGAAGTGTGACATTCTCGTGACTGAGTTTTCGTCCATATATATGTGTTTTTTTTTTATGTTGTTCAATTCAAAGGTGGCCTGCCCTTAGCAACAACAACAACAACAACAAAAAATCGCTTAATTCGGCCTCACTGCTGTGGCGCTCACTTTGCGAGATTTACAGTGGCGGTTCGAGCTACCCGGAAGGCAGGACACATGCCAGGCCACACATCTGTGTCGGTGGTGGAGGGAGAGGCCGATGGGGAACGGTGCCGGTCAATCCGGCAATCCGGCACCAGAATGACGGTGGGGGGGGGGGCAAGTAGCCGATAGACGAGGCGTGGTAGGGGGGGCGCCGTGGCTATTTCAGAGGCGATCGTGTGACAAGGGAGCAGCTGAAACCCTGCGACATGAGGCCACTTTTTCAGGATCAGTGGCTCGGAACTTTGGTCTCGAGAGACTGCTCGCCTGGAACTCAACGTTCAGCCGAAGCAAAGTGCCTCGGCCTTCCTGTAGCTTGAGGCAGCCACACACCTGCAGGGCTCGGGGATATAAGATAATACGCTTTCTTTTTTTTTATTTCTCAAGAATGCCTGGCTGAGAATTGGGATTTTGTTTTTTGTTGCAGAAGGGTCTTGCTCTTAACGTTTGGTCAATTCCCCTCTGAGTCTTTTGTAAGTGCGTGGATGTCAGAGGACACCGGGAAAAAGCCCCTGCAGATGAGTGTTTCATGCAAATAGAACCCACTCTATAGTCCTCCAGCGCCGGATTTTAACAGACTCAGTCGGACGGCACTGAGTTATAACACGGTTAACGCTCGGCTCACGTTCCTGCTCTAATGGCAGCTTTACGTTGGTCAAAGGTCAACAGACGTAAATTGTTGCTGTTCCAACGATCTGTTTGACAGAAAATGCCAACATCTCGTTTGTTTCCTTCTACGTGGCGCACTTATTGATGTATTTATTTTTACTTTAACCTGTTATTCAGTCAACTTAAATGCTGACTGGTGTTCCATTTTATTGACGAACGATTTGCATTCCTTCATCATAAACGTGCACACTTACATACCTTGAACACGAAAAAATGTTCCAAGCCGAGAAAATGTAGTTTAAAACATTTCAGTTCGAATAACCACCTTGGTTCCGCGTCCCTTTGAAGTGAAGGTCTCAAAAAAAGCAGCTTTAAACCCCACGTGGGTGAGCTTTAAACTTGCTAAACGGAAGGGCACCAAACGAAGGTCAAGATGAAAATAAATCTCCTTGTGGGAAGTGCGGTGACCGGGTGGCGAGATTGTGAATCGGCGAGAGATCTTCATAGGTAAATAGATGGAGACCTTTATTTTAAAAAGCAGGCGAGAGAGCACATTGAGATCAGATGGGTTTTGTTTTTGTTCAAGGGACCTCTGGGTCACTGCAACGGCAGGGTAAACAAATGTAATACAGCAAGCCATAGGGCTGCATTATTTTTTTCCCAAAAACAACTGATTCGTGAATTAATTAAAAGTAGGAATTTAAATATAAAAAAGTGAGGTATCAGCTCTAAATTCTTGTATATCATTTTGTCTGAATAGCCAATCAAAACCTGACTGAGGAAATGGCTTTTAAATTAACAGCAGATGTCATATTGTTCCGCGTACGAGGAGCAACGCAGATGAAGTAAAAAAATTGTGCAAGTTTAGTCTTCATGCTGGAAGGTGCCATCAAATGTCGAAGGGTGTCTTAAGTTGCGTGTAAGGTTAGCAAAGTATGTAATCTTGGGTGGTAATTTATTATGAAATGCCTTCAGGACGAACTTAGACGAATGCACACCTCTCCCAGTGTAACCATACGTCAAATGGGATTACCTTTACGCAGACAATAAACAGGGACTGCTATTTTAGTGCACGCAAACGACACGAGGTACAAGGACAATATGCATGCATATTGTACGCTGATTACCATGGTTAGATCAAGATGGTTAGATCATGATGGTTAGATCACGATGGTTAGATCACGATGGTTAGATCATGGTGGTGATATGATGATGGTGATATGATGATGGTTAGATCATGATGGTTAGATCACGATGGTAAGACCACGATGGTGAGATGATAATGGTTAGATCACGATGGTTAGATCATGATGGTTAGATCATGATGGTGATATGATGATGGTAAGATGATGATGGTTAGATCATGATGGTTAGATCATGATGGTTAGATCACGATGGCGAGATGATAATGGTTAGATCATGATGGTTAGATCATGATGGTTAGATCACGATGGTTAGATCATGATGGTTAGATCACAATGGTTAGATCATGATGGTTAGATGATGATGGTGAGATGATGATGGTTAGTTCACGATGGTCAGATCATGATGGTTAGATCATGATGGTTAGATCACGATGGTCAGATCACGATGGTCAGATCATGATGGTTAGATCATGATGGTTAGACCACGATGGTCAGATCATGATGGTTAGATCATGATGGTTAGATCACGATGGTGAGATGATGATGGTTAGATCACGATGGTGAGATCATGATGGTTAGATCACGATGGTGAGATGATGATGGTTAGATGATGGTTAGATCATGATGAATAACCCAGCCGGCAATGGATTCCCATTGTAATTTATATACATTCATTAATCCCCCACCCCCTTCGCACGTGAAGGGCTCACACATCTACCCCTCCATTTAAGGAACGAAACAGGAGGATTTATCCACAAATCTGGCTGTCCGCCTGATGATGTTAGTTGTAATTACTCAGATTTTAAAGTTGTGGATTTGCTCTCCAACACACCGGTGTGCTGAAGTACCAACTAATTGGCACGTTCTGTTTACGTGACAAACCTTGCTCATTGGCTCTGTCTAGTGGTGGCAGGTTTAACGATACATTTATATTGACGCGATCTAACCCAAAAAATAACCCTTATATTATGGATGATATTGGCCGCGAAAGCCTATGTGTTAAACTAACCAGTGTTATTAACGATAGTCAAAGCAATGGAAATGGCCGTTCCCAGTGGGACAAACGGGTAAAGCCGAATGGAGAAAGTGGGAGAAGGGCAACCCCGTCGCGTGACCTTGAGGGGTGGGGTACAAAAACTTAGGCGGGCGCGACACCGTCAATGTCAAGCAGACTTTGAACACGTGTTAAACGCTCAACGGAATTAGCAATTGGAACTCTGTCCGCTTTTGTGTATCATGAATTCTGCTCTGGCTCTTCAGCCCCTCTATGTACACAAGGAAAGGCTGCGACGCCCCATCGCTTAATTGTACCAAAATCAACAACAACAAAAATCCAGCCCCCTCAAATGATCGCCGACAGTTTCCATATCGAGCGTACATAAGAATTGGGAAGGAGGCCGAGTTTGAGTTCATTTGATTTGATTCTTTCGGTAAAGTCACGTAGAAGGGAAACAATAAAATAATAAAAATATGATATTATTGTTTTATATTTGTATTATTTTATTGTTTCCCTTCTACGTGACTTTACCGAAAGAACCAAGAATATGAATCCCTGCAGTCACGAAAGCTTTCAATCAAAATTCATTTGATTTGTTACATGGACAAGGATCCCATGTCACCAGTTGGCCCGGCTATTTTACAACGGAGATCCGTGGTGCGTGAGCGCAGCAGCAACGGGCAGGCTTCAACAGAGGGGGCAGGGGGGGGCCTTAAAACCCCTCCATATGAGGGCGGTGGGGAGGTGCCGCCGCCTCTCACCATTTCTCCCCGCTGGAGTCGACGTGCTGCTTCACCGTGTAGCCGAACTGCGTCTCGGCAGAGCCGGAGAAAATCTGCGCATTTTTCACGTCCACGTTGAACGCCCGGCCAAGCTGGCAAAATCCTGCCGTCAGAGTGGGGAGGGGGGTGGGGAGTTAAAGAGTTTTAAACGAGTTTTACCGCAGTTGACATCGGGTGTTTTTTTTTAAACATGCCTTCAAATTGTAATGGTCTCCATACCTGATAAAATAAAATGTAAATAATTTTTAACATCGAGATACTTTTTTTCTGCCCGAGTGGAATGCTGATCTTCACACAGTGCTCGACTGTGAAACCACAAACGAGACGGAAGGGATCTTTCCAGCCGCGGGCCACCGGTCCGTGGAGCTGAATGTTGGGATTTTACCGCTACGTATAATCTCGTGGTTGTGCTGTGTAAGCTTTTGTGGAGCGCTGCCCTACGAACCCGGCCACCCGAGTTAGATTCCCGCTCGCGGACAACACAAGTGACGATTATTTTAACCGGTCCTGGGCCTCCCCTAGGTCTACTCAGCCTGAAGTGAGTACCTGGTGCGGTGTGTAGTAAACATCGTAACTAGGGAGACAAAGGCGGCCGGGTGTGGTGTTGGCCACCAACCCCCTCGTGTGTCGTGCCGGCCTTCATAATTGCTCGCGAACATCACTTGCCCCAACAGTCTGTATAGCTCTCCAATGCCTTTTAGGGTTGTACTGAACGTTGCTCGACGTTACGACCGACGGGTCGCCCCGCGTAATATGGCGATGTTTTAATATTAATTTGGCGACAAAACGCTGCCCGGAGATGCTCCGAGCACACGGAATGAAACGTCGGCCGTCTTTCATGGGAGCTATGGATTTGATAGCCCGGCGATCGGGCAGCTGGAGCATCTCTTGCGCGTGCTTCCCACCGGGCCCCATCTTTCCACGAAGTGCGCGCGACTCCATTTCCCACGGCCACATCGAAATTTGTGCAGGGAAATTGCCCAATGACACATCCACTATGCTCACGAAACACCCCGTCACATGGTGATTTTCACGAAGGATTAGGTGCCAGTTAGCATCGTGTCCCAAGGCTCAATTCGTAAACGGTTAAATGAGGTAGAGCAGTGGCACTGCGGTTCACGAACTGAGCTATGTACTCAGTAAGTCAAGTTCGATTCCCTGCTACAGCTACGACCAGTGGCACGTCATATCAGACCCGACATTATATGGCCCTCTTCATCTCAAATCTGCATTGACCAACGTGGAGGAATATGGTCAGACAACCGCCATGGCTGAAATGGCAAGGAGAAGCCTCCATTCAGCAGTAGGTTTACAAACGGCTGTCAATGTATACATTAAATAAACAAAAACTATCATCAGATAATCACTTTTCCAAAAAAAATGTGTACGCTTTGTCCAGGCGTATTTTGGAGAGACAGATTAGGTCTCTCTGGCCGAGCTCTTGCACAGATAAACAAAGGCTACCCGTTAAACTCATTGAGAAACCCAGTTCACCCTGGGACCCCCTGCGTTGGGGAGATAAATTACATTCATAGCAGTCTGCCAGGTGCCCTCGTCGCCGAACACAGCTCCCGTAAATTCACGCTCGTGTGATCGGTTGACAAATTGTTAGATTTTGTTTTATTCATGTTGTTGTTGTTGTTGTTTTCCGTGTCAACACTTGAAATAGTGTTTACCAGGGTCCCAGTCGGTAAGCTAAACGAGCGGACCTGGCATTCCATCTACCCTGGGGGCGCACAACACGCGCTGATGTGATCGCAGTGGCGTCAATGATTCCGTAACAATGCTATTTGTGACGACGATAACGATGATGATGATTGTTGTCCCCCCTTGTAAAATCAGCTACGGGATTTGTTTCAAGGAATGCACAAGTTGGCGCGATCACCCAGGGTCTAGAACAAATAGTATGCACCCAGACCAGATTGTTTCGTTTCTGTTTGTTTCAGCTCTGCTGTGAAACGATTTCCAAGAATATTGAACTTGCACGATTGACGATCCCTTTATACGTTGAAAATTTTATTTTCATCACATTCGGTTCCTTTATATTGTGACACTGTCTTTTTTGTCGATGGAGTTAGATGAGATCACAAAAGCTTTTCATTCACTTAGCGACTGCACAGCCCAAACACAATGCATTCACTGCCATTAATATGAAATGGAATGCCAAGAGTGAATTCTTTCCGAGTTATGCCTGCAATATGCGATTCTTTGGTCCCTTTGAAGGCCCTTTTACATCGAGGCGGTTGGGTGACTTTCATGGGATTTGGCAAAGACCATCAGATCATTCCACGTCTCCACTTCTCCTCCATCCACTCGTCCATCCATTCCACCGCTCCCCACCCCCCGACACTTTCTCACTTTTATTGGTGGTTCACAACTATCGGCCTGGCATTATTGTCGAGACTTTTAAGACTTCATCTCTCTCCTCACTTCGTTGAGTGTTATTCACCGGTGGTTTTACAATTTGCGAGCGCTCCTTCCTGAGTTGAGGTGTACTTTTGATGTAGAAGAAGCTACGGCGTGTAACATTTTGTGATCTTCCCCCACCTCCCCCCAAACAAAAAAAAAATAATGTGCTAAAATGAAGATTCCAGCACATCTAATAACGCGATGATGTGTGTTAAAAGCGATGTACGACTTGTAATGTGTGTTTTTTTTAACTCTTGATGCAGACTGTCTTGCTTCCGATTTAATGCATGGGGAGGAGGAATTCATGATTGTTATTACACTCTATCTGTCTTGGTTTAGGACTTGGGAGTCTCATCCACATACGCTAGAGTTTTTCAATCTTAAAGCTCTTACGACCCTACTGCGTGCGGTGGACTTTAGGAAACAGAAACTCATGACGACGCAACTTTCACAATTTGATTCACTCAAGTGCGAGCAAGCAAGGTTGCAATGTATCATGGGTTTTGCCCATTGTGCCTTGCAGTATAAACCTATTTAAATGTAACCTCTCGTTGAGAGCACTAATTGATCAATTTTGATGTAAATTTAGACATCAATGCATCGTGCAACGACTAAGCAAAATGTGTTAACTCTAGCATAAAATAAAGCATGCTAACTTTCATCTTTGCTGCGGGCTTCCTCATCGATCGTCTTGCACTAATTGCTGCTTTCGCAGATTTCCGAGAGCCCTTTGGCCACGCAACTGGCGCGCAAGCACACAACATCCGTGTCTTGGCTCGGGCAGGGCTCGGCGGAGTTTTGTGCTTCTGCTAATTCTCTTAATGTGATCTCTCGCGAGTTACTGGGCGCCTCCGTCAGATAGACAGGCATTGCTTTGTTGACAATCCCCCCACGCTCCCATTGATGTCCTTTCAAGCCGCATGCACTTTGGCATTTATTTCCCCCCCCCCCCACCCTTTATTCTCGCTACTTCCTTGGGGGATGCATCAAACAAGCCCACCGTGATTTAAAGTTTTCGTGACTGCAGGAATTCATATTCTTTGGGTCTTTCGGTAACATCACGTGGATAGGTTAACTGATGGCCCATCAGTCGGTGGGCGTCGCGGTGGCGAGATGTTAACTACCTCGCTTGGTAAACAAGGGAGGTCGTGGGTTCGACGCCTGTATATTGGGATTTTGCGTGTGTCTATCCCCGCTGGTCACGTGGATTTTTCTCCGGGTCCTCCGGTTTTTCCCTCCACATTTAGAATGAACGTGCGTTTAGAGTATTTTTGGCTACTATAAATGTCCACGTGATGATACGCCAATTGCGTTGGGCTCTCATATGTGGCCAGGTCGCTTTCAAAAAAAGAGCGATATAAAAAGTTTCGTTTAATATTTTTAGTTTAGTCAGCTCCGTCAAGCAGCATCACATTGGACAGGAAATCGCAGGGGGATGCTGCTGCTCTTCCTCGCTCCCTTCAGAGTCCACCCCTGGCCGGTTGACAGCGTGGCCCGAGGGATTGGGGGCTGAAAGTAGCCCGTGAGGCCTCCAATTATCACGGTTGGCTACGTACGGTGAGAAAGAAGTCCAACATACTCGAGGCCAAACGAGACATTTCACTGCTCGGTACCACCCGAGATGGCGTACAACTCCCACCAGTGAATTATGTGATAACCATTTGAAAGGAGTGGGTTATCAAGTAATTCACTCGGATTTGCCATATAATTAAATCAGTAAAACCAAAGTGTTCCTACCTTAGGTGGTAACCATTTTCCGCTCTGGCCCATGGACTAAAGCAGGAGGAGTGAAAGTGCTAATCTCTGAGAGAGGGCCTTTTTGCTTCCTCGCAGGCCTGAAAATAACAGTCCCATTTGTTGTTCCACGACGACTACCCCTTTTCACACACGGCCGTGCCCGACAGCCGAGAGGGCGGTGATGAGGCCGAGAGGGCGGTGATGAGGCCACTCGTACAAACTGAGAGCCTCTTTTTTTTGGGAGCCTAACAAGAACGGCGAGCGCTGATATTAGCGGGCCACCAATTATTCATCTTTTTTTGGAGCCTAACAAGAATGCGGAGCACTGATATTAGCGGGCCACCAATTATTTATATTTTCTTGGAGCCTAACAAGAACGGGGAGCGCTGATACTAGCGGGCAACCAATTCTTTATCTCTTTTTTGTAGCCTAACAAGAACGGGGAGCGCTGATATTAGTGGGCCACCAATTCTTTACAGTCTCTCTTAAACACACAGCTGCAAGCAAGCAGCCGCGGCAATCCTCCCCCTGACCGCAGCTATTCACACGGGGACAGTCTCCCCCCCCCCCACCCCCCATCGCGCCGTCCCGCCAAGAAAATAAAGGCGAACAGGCTCCGTAGCGCCGACCAAAACGCTATTTATTTTGAGACCGAGATGATATTTTAGATCCCCCCGTTTCCTCGGTTTAGCAAATACGACTGTGGATGTGTTACATTTTCATGCTTCCGTTGGTGAGAGGGAAGGGGAGGCGGCACTTTTACAAAGTGCCAGCTCAGCGTATCTGCTGTATCAACAAACCAAAATGTGGCATTACACTCCGCAGCCCGCTGCTTTGCTGCAGGCGATATGAAAGCAGAGTCAAGGTTGGAGTTCAAGATGCCAGATATAGCCCAGAAATAACACTTACGTTACTGCCACGTGTGTCTGCAGCTAGCTGACCCATTTTCCCCTCCCCCTTGTGACGGCTCATAAGGAAACCTGTAAAGAATTGCCAACATTACGACACATAATTTAAGGGCATACCACCATCCCCGCCAAACCCCCTTCCTGCCAGAAATGCGGTTGTTTGGATGCAAGGATTGGCAGTGGCAGTCGGGGCTATTTATCCCCAAGCGGGTTAGCCTCCAGCACCCAGCAGGTGCTTGTGTGGCCCCTCTCAGCCACAGCGGCACCCGTCAGGTGTCTTAGGTGGTGCCATGACTTATCTTCACCTTTTCACCGTGCACCAAATGACCCATACTTCCACAAAACCAAACTGGACGAGTGTCAAGAACTGAGTGCACAGTAAAGAGAACTTCTTTCAGTCCAGCAGCCCGCTAGGAGACTGGAATATATCAGAGGTTATTGGCTGCCAAGCAATTTACAGCCAGCTTGCCAACCATCGCTGGGCTTAGGCAGTCCAAGTGACGCGCTCCGTCAGGCCCCACCGCGTCTCTGTGGTTGAGCGCCTTGGAGGCGGGGGGTTGGTGGATCACGTGCAGATATTGTAACGTGCGTGCGAAAAAAACACCTACTTGCGGAGGTAGGCAATAGTCTGTAGGCGGTGAAGCAACGTCGCCGGTTGCCGACCTGTGTGTGCATTTTCTTTTTTTAACGAATCTTTCTACGCAATCAGCAGATTCTCCGTGGGCCCTCTGGGCTTGCTCCCACATGCGAGCTGCTTAATAATGTGAACAAGTGTCCCACGTCGGGGTTTTACCGTCAACGCCTGGAGGGAGTCGTTGAGCCTAACACAAAATAAAAAGCGTTGGGCTCTTCTACTCTCCGTGATATTGCACTGGGCCTTCACCGCAGACGCCGCTGTCGGTGGTTTTCTTCACACGAACATGGTCGATGGATTTGACAGGTGGCTCAAAAAGAAAAGCACGCCGAGTCCACTCTGGGCTCTTTAAGGAGCGCTGCGTTCGGCGCCTGTCTGCAGTTTCAGCGGTCCGTCGTGCCTGCTCCCATCCTGTGCGGTGAAACGGTGAAATGTGACCCATTTTATAATCGCTATTCCCAAGAAACAAATCTCGTTCACTTCGAACCACAGAGGAACACTTTCACAAACGAGCGAAGAAAACCATGATGCAATTGTTTTTTGGCGTAAGTCAGGCGAGCAAAAAAACATAATTCTAAAGCTGCTTTGCCATATTCTTGAACTTCAAAAATGTAGGCCTGCTACCATGAGATGAATATCTGCAAGCCTTTGAAGCAGCACTAATACGAGATGCTGTAACGGCCTGTGAAGGTGGGACCCATTGCAGCCCATGGCAAATCTGGAGGTAGTTAAAATTTAAAGGGACTACATTTTAGGAACCCCCCCCCCCCGCCTGGAATTTTTTTGTAGCGTGCCCGAGTTTCTTTACGTTGTTGTTGGAAATGGATGACTCTTTACGATACATACTCTTTGTTTTTTTTTCGGTAAAGTCACGTAGGTAAAAAAATCAATAAAATACGATACGCCGGCCGCTCTCCTCCGCTTAGAAAAAGTTCGACTGCGTTGCCTGCACAGAGTAAAAACGAGCGCGCCATTCCTGCCTATTCAACGCCAGACGGACGCTCAGACTCCAGACGGACGCTCAGACGCGTGCATGGCTTCTCGCGGAGGCGTGAGCCAAGCGGAGTCGAGGAAACGGCGCAAGAGGAGTTGCTGGGGGGGGGGGGAGGTATGCAGAGCGACGTGCGGAATAGGAGACGGCCGTGGGAGAGTAGGCTCGATTTTAGCGTTTGGTTCGGAGAGAGAGAGGGGGGGAAAAGGCATTTGTGGCAATAAAAATGAAATCCTTTCTTAAGCTGAAAAGGGGGTAGCCTCCACGTAATTATTCTATAAATTCCTGTCTTTGGGCCTCGTTACGGCTCTTAACTCGACAGCAGATGGCGTGTGCACGTGTGTTCGTCCTTCACGCGCGTCGAGATTGCACACGTGCAGCCCGTTTCGATAATCCACTGCTAGATGAGGGCCTCCTACCTACACTATGCCAGTCGCGGGGCACTATTTGATCATGTTTGATCACCGGGCTGCTCAGTGCGGGTTTGTGAAGCCGGAGCATAGTGCAATATAACAATGGCTCGAAGTGCTTGGGTGTTGTGGGCTGTTGCGGGGCGATGGTGGCAGTAAGAGGGCACAGTGCAGTACAATCACAAATTTTCTGACGAATGATCTGTTGCTAAAAATAATAAATGTTTTTATTGTCACGAATGTCGTTTTAATATAACAAAGGCCTCTTGAGACATCATAGTGGCATGGTGATTATTAAATAGAACATCTCATCACGGTGATGATGGTGACAAAACACAGTAAGTTGTTTCGCTTCTGTAACTCTTTTCCATATACCGGTTATACCCCAAACACGTCATCGGCATTTGGGGCAAGGGTGAGTTTTTTTTAATTTTCTGGAATGCAATACCATAGTAGAGAGAGACACGTGCTATTGGGAAAATATTCTAAGCTTTGTCCAGATTTGTCTAAAATCATAGTTTTGTTTGGTATTACTGGCAACTGGATTACACACGGATACGCTGTGAAGATTAGTGACAATTTCAACCGCTGCCTCTGCGCCGCATTATTCTTCCAACTGAAATAATTGCAAATTTTGTCGTGATTTTTGTTATTAATGCAGACGCTGCTGGGCAGGATGAGACGAGTTGAACTTGCTTCACATGGAAACTTGGGTGTTATGTCGGGCGGGACCCTGAAGATTTAAACCCAGGATCTCAACAGTTCTGGCTCAGTTTTCTCTTACACGGACATAGCATTAGCCTCTTGGGCCACCCTACAGCCACTCTTGAATATTTGTTTTGTCTCCCCCACGTCACCCCTTCACTATTTAAAGTGCTGAGCAGCACTGCCTTCTCTTCCCCGCGAGATGGCGTCCCCTGGTCCGCTCGCTCATGCCCCGAGCCGGCTTTCTCTGTTTACTACAATAATTCGTGAATATTTTTAGACGTTGCATCCTTGCAAGCAAACCTCAACCCGGCATTTGACTTGTTTTTCAGAATAAAAAAATATATTTTGATTCATCACTTCCGAACGTATTGATTTACCATCGTTTAAAACACCAAAACTTACATTTAACAATACAATCAGGCGCGTGCCCTGTTCTGTTTTTTCATGGTAACTTCAATATCTTAAGAGTTTAAAGTTTAAAAGGCACGGAAAAAATGTTACAACCAAAAAATATGTTAAAAGCATTACAATTTTATTGAAATTTCTCTTTTTGTCGATCAGTAGCCACTAACGCCGATGCCGTTATTGCATTTTAATATGAATATAACATGAAGTTACGAAAATCCTTTTGGACATTGTCACTTTTACTTTGTTTCATTGTTAAATTCTTCACGTGCTCTCCTCTTCCACACGTGAGATCTACCGACTCTCGCATGTCACAGGAACACATACGTGTCCGAATGTCGGGCCAAGCAAAACGCTTTGTTTACGTTCTCAGTAGTTGAGAGCTAACTGGATGTCACGCAAAGCTTGTAGTAAATCACAATTAAGCTATGCTTAATGCTATGCTTACTGGGGGGTTTTGATCTTTTCAAAATATTTTCCTACTTGTAAATATTTCACTAATTTGACCCACATTGGAATTTAAAGAGCCACGGCGACCCAGATCTGCCATTCGCCTCCACAAATACACTTTTGAGAAGCGGCCAGAATTTGTTTTAAAAAGTGCCCATTCGCAAAATGTCTCTTTACCTTGCATCATCATCGCCAGCCGAATCGCCACGCTCCCTCCGTGCATCTTCATCTTGGCCGAATCATCCGGTGCCCAACTTCTCAGAGATTTTCGGGAGGCGCGCGCGGTGGTCTTCCTCGTTCTCGTCTCTGCAGCGGCAGTGCTGCGATGTTTACACTGCTCGCCGCCAGACCGGCCTGGATCGGTGCCTCCCATAATACCAGAGGGGAGATGGGGTGGGGGGGCTCTGGTGGCCAATTGCAGCACGCTGCTGCACAGATGAGGCTTTGCAAACGTCCCTTCCCCGCCAGCCAAGCGCTCGAGTTTCCACTCCCTCTCACGACCCGTCCGCCAATCCCCAATCACTGCAACAGCAGCAGCAGCAGAAACCCCGTGGCTTCATTCCTAAATCTCCCCGTGCGTCTCAGCCGACTCTCTCCGCTCCACCTTCACCGCCCCAGTTACAACCTCCCCCGACTTTGTGTCTCCACCTCCACAGCAACAGAAACAAAAAAAATATTTGAGAAAAACTTCTCCACCTGGCCCACCCCTTCTTCGAGTTTCTCCCTGCCAGCCCGCGACCCCCAACGTAGCTCTGCAAGACAAAAATCCGGGTGTTATGAAGACATTATGGATGAAGACTTAGTAGGAAGGCATCAATGATGGGGGAGTTGGGGAGGGGGGTGCACGCAAAAAAAGGATCGCGCGAACACGTGCAAACCTCCAGATGCAGCTGGAGTGTCGCAGCTGCGAGGCCGACTGCTTAAGACGAAGGCGTAATTGAAAATGCGTCATTCAAATGCTGTTATTTTAATCTCCGTCTTTCCGGCGCCTTGGTCTCATGCATGGACGGCGGAGGAGCAACACGTTAAAGTTTCTCCAAACTCGTAGCCCATGTGGAATCGTCGGCGTTTAGGGGGAGGACAGTTGTTGTGGTTTTTTTCTGGGTCAAATGAGCCTATGCGTGGGTTTCAGAAAACCCTTTATTTGTTGCCGATGTTAACCTTCATTTAAAAAAACAAAACTACATAATTGTCATAAGCTATGATCTACCCATCGCTGGATGAAGGTCTGCCCAAGCTGTCGTAATTTCTCACAGTCCTGTGAAGCAACGATCCATCACACGAGCTGATCTCACGACCCCCCCCCCGATCCACTCACGGGCGTGTTCTCTTCTTTGACTGCCATTCTGTCTGAAAAATAAAAATAGGTTTTACCCTTTCTGGCAATAAAACAGGTGTTGCGATGTTCAAGCAACCAATATATACTTTTTGCAAGGAATCAAGTCTGCATGAACCACAGTGCTTGCCGTGAACATGCAAACAAACATGTTCTAATAATATATTGGCTTCTTTGAAACTGATTGGCCTATGTTGATGTAAACTCTTCTTGCGACGTATCCTGCCCAGGCCCGTTTGCTGTCAATAAACTTGCCAGCCTTCAGTACATTTTTTTTTACTAGATTTCAGCGGCAATATGAATGTATGATCATTTTTATGTATATTTAGTTTTTCTCTCCCCGTTATCCATTGTTCAGTGTGGTTTTATAAACGAGGTAGAATGTGGTGTCACACCTGTGATGTCATGATCCCATGGAGAAGGGTTTATTATTTACAGGTATTCTTTGTGGACTCTGGAAACCCTCGCCCGAATAGGATCCAATTTGACGTTGCCTCCAAGAAGTGAAAGCCCCTCAAAGGAGAACACTGCTGTGCAATCTCGACAACAACAAAAACATCAACAAGAAAACTCAGAAGCAAGACCATCGGCCAACAAAGGTTAACCACGAACAAAACTTGGCTTATTAGACGTGCATATTTACAAAGTATGGTCACGGATCCATTCGCAGAAGTAATTCGTGAAAGCTAACTTAACCCACATGACACTGCTGTGACAAATCATTTAGCTGGTCCACAGCAGCTCCATTGAGATTGTTTGCTTTTAAAATAATAATAAAGCCTGCTTTATCTCCATATTTATAAAAGACAAAATTGTGAATATGTGTCTGTTCAAAATGTTTAGCGTACTTCCCGACATGCAACAAACTGGAAATTTGCCATGTGGGTACTTTCCAGACTGTACACCATGCAAACATTATAAAAATACACTTTTGGTTTTTTTTTGGGGGGGGGAGCTCAATAATGCATTTTTTTGGCACAGCAAATGAGCTGTGACGTCAAATATGTCATGTGACCCGCTCACGTGGAAGCGTAACGCATTGTAGTGTAGTGGTTAGCGCGCTATGCTACGAACCTGGCGACCCGAGTTCGATTCCCGCTCACGGCCACCAACGGTGGCAATTATTTGAACCGGTCCTGGGCCTCCACCAAGGTCGACTCAGCCTCAAACGAGTAACTGGTGTGTTGTGTGTGAACATCGCCACTGGGGAGACAAAGGCGGCCGCCCGTGGTGAATCCAAGTCCCAGGCGAAGCCGGGTAGTACAGCTAGTACTCTATACTATCATAGAGACTTGACATTGCATTCTCCTGGGTCAGCCTACGTCTACGTTCCATCTGCCCACGTTCACTTTCCATATGGCTGGGTTTTAACATAAAGGAAAAAAAATTGTAAAAACAGGAATGAATTAAAGGGAAAAAAATGGCACGTTCTTCAGGCTGCCAGATATTATGTCCGGCTGGCAGTCTGCCACATTCGCAGTAGCCCCTGTGCCAATTGGTGGGAGGGGGTGGAGTGAGGGAGGGTGATGGGTTGTGAGTGCCGGGTTGTGTACTTGGGTTCCGTGTGCCGGGGTTCGAAATGTTATGGTGGGCTGTCCGGCCATGCCGTGGTGGTTGAAGCACAGAAAACGGTGACAACTTTTTCAGGCACCAACAGCTTGAAAATGATATCTGTAACAGCCATAATAAGTGTGTTGCATTTGACTGAATTTACACGAATTTACTCTAACCCACCTGTGCATACGACTCAGAATATTTATTTACACTGGTGGAATACGATGAGCCATGAAGCTCTTCGTATGTCACAGATGCCGTCACAGATGCCCAGTAGTCACACGTGTCCAGTAGAATCTGCGACCTCTCCTTAACCTCGAGCAAACTCTGATCCCTCCATCTTAAATCTTCGGTGACCGTGGCCCTTGCAACTCTGCCAAACCTCTGGCGGTACCTAACATCGGACAAATCATGACATCCGGCTGACCTTCAACAGCATCTATTGCATCCGGTGATGAAACTGGGTTCGCTCAATAGAGTGGATAACCCACTCTTTACCTTTTAATTAAACGAAAAGTTGGGGGGGGAGGAGGGAGGATATTTACAGACAAATTTCTAGGAAGGTTCCCTTGAGAGTCACGGGCTTCGTGTGCGTCTTGCTGGGGCGACAAGGAAGACCCTTGTGCGTTTTTCTGTGTTTCTAGGAAACTAAACCTAAAAGCAGCTACGAGGAGTAAAATAATTTAAAGGGCTGCAAGGTAGGGTAGGTGTAAGCGATCGGCTGATTGGGAGAGAAAGCAAACCAAGTGTGGGGTGTGCATGGTTCAGCCTCGAAAGAACGCAAAACTTCACACAGGACGGCTTTGTAATGTTTAAAGTAGCAACGCTCTCCAACCCATGGCTGATGGTGAGGTTTTCTACATGTTGCAACTCTGACTGCTATTTCATTGGTTTTCCGTTAATTGGCGAATCTTACAGGTAACTCGAGAAAGGACACGCACTAAAAGCATATGTCACGACCTCTATGTATACGAGCTCTCTCATCCCCGGAGAGATTTCAATGGTTCACAAGTCAGACGCAACATTCGCGTGACTATGCTAAGAGACGTCAAGTAAAATGACCCGTATGACTCGAGGGTGAGAAAAAAATTGTGTTTACACGATTACATTTATGTCCAGTACTTCATTCATCACTTCTGTTATTTACCAGGTCAGAGTACATTAAAACGAAACGTATTTTTTTAAAGGAGTAAACTGGATATCAGTTTATTATTGTCTATTATTTTGAGCTGTTTTTCATATCCATATTGCTTCACCCTTTGAATTGTTCAAATAACTTGTTTTCTCTACGTGGCATTATCAGTTATTCGTAGTTATTTTATTAATAAACAGCCCAGGCCGCGCGTTTGCGTGGGATACACGGCCGGCGTGCTGGTGGGGAGGGGGTGGGGGGGTTGGACGTGACGTCAGCACGCACGTACCTGGCTAACCGCTGCGGGATACGGGTGACGTCACCACGCAGATGTACGCGATGACGTCACCGCCGCACGCTTTGCCCCGCCCGCCGAGCCAGCCAGCAAAACTTTTTTTGTTCATAATGTAGCCCCTGTACTGCATATATATGTGTAGCAATAATGAATGTTGTTTGTTTAAAAAATAAAAATTTGCAAAGCGCCCCTCTGCTCATTTTTGTCAGTCCTCGTCGTTTCAAGGTTCGGTGGTGGAAATTCCATGTTCTTATGGCGGGGGGGGGGTGGTCAGTCTGTCCATAGGATGAGCAGTGCGTGTGTTCCTACTCATCAGACTGTGCTCAATTCACCAACCCCAGGAATGGGGGGGGGGGGACTGCTGTTGCCGCTGCCACTTGCCAACGAAGGAGCAGCGCCGATCTTGACCAGAATTTTGAGCTCACTCAATGCTGCCAGCCGGGGGGGGGAGCCCAGCTGCTGTGCAAGTTACCACCCGCATTTACAAACAGAACCATTGTTTTATACATTTATTATTGCAGCCCATAGCAAATGATATTAATAGCAATAACACATTGTCGGTGTTTTTTGGTGTGCCAATGAAAGAGTCTCAAGTCTACTTTTAAGGGGAGTCTTGCACTCGTTTGTTTGGCTATAACATCTATATAGAGTGTGCAAGCGTAGGACACTAATAATATGCAATGAAAGATCATAAACCTTTTTTTTTATTAACTGTATCTTTTATACAGCGCCTGAGTGCCCATCAGGTTGGCATCTCATGCACATTTAGAGGAATAATCAATATTTCATAGCCAGGTAATTGCCCATTGAGATGAACGGTCGATACATCTCCAGCACCCCTGGCGCTAACGCCACTCGTGGTCTCCGAAGCACGTTCGTAAAAATCCGAGTCCAGAAAATTCCAGCCCTTGGAGGACGGCCGCCCTGGCGGCCAGTGTGTATGTTGAACTTCTTTCGCACCGTACGTAGCCAGCCGTGCTCATCGGAGGACCGTTCCTCTCGAGTGGAAGGGACGATGCCATAAATGGACTCGGGCTCTCGCGACGGCCGGGGTCGTTCGTGATTACCACTAACGTTACGCAGAGAGGGGAGGGGGGGGGGGGGTGCGGAAATAAACATTGAAATGTAGCTTATTTGTGATGGGAGAACAAAAATACGCGCTTTGATTTCCTTTGTGTGTGGAAGAGTGTAACCTGAGCACTGGCGGCAAAAGGAATTTGGTGGAAGGGGTTTTGGGTGCGAAAACGAGGCAAGGCGA